AAAAAAAAAAATTTTCTTTTTGCTTTTCCTCCGCCGTTTTTTTTTTTTTTTTTTGGATGGAGAGCTTTATTATGTAACAGTTCTTTCAGTGTTATTCTTTTTAAAGTATGTGGAATATTCCCTTGTTAAAATTACAGTCTGAGAGCGAACCAAGAACATTCAGGACACACAGAGGGCACTGAGGAATGCTGGAATATTCCATGGATACTTGTCATCTGAAGAAAAGGGAGAGGAGGAATCTGAATTCCAGAATCTGCAATTTACCTTTAAAACATCGTTCTCATCCTCCTTATTCATGCCTTGCATGTGTAAAGCCCTTCGAAGTTTTGTTCAAAAATATCTATTGAGCTCCTTCTACACGCTTACACGCTGGGACCTCCAGATGGACATTAACCCCTCTGACAACACGAAGTAGAGCAGTGTGGAGAGGTCATGCGACTGATCCAAAGCCACACAGAAAGTTTCTGAGCACCTGTCGCTCCTCTAAGATTGACCTGCCCTTCCCTCATAGATACTTCATGTCTCCTTCCCTGCTTTGTTCTTCTCTCTTTAGCAGGAAAGATAAATATTTCACTTCTTTATCTTGCTTATTTTCTGCATGCCTCACTATGGTGCAACCTCCACACAGGCCGGGATGTTATCTGTTTTGTTCATCACTGTATTCTCAGTGCCTATAACAGCAATATTATTTGTTCACTGATGAATGTCACCAGCCCCCTTAATGGACTGAGTCAGATTCAGAAGTCAATGGAAGGAGCAACTCCAGAGTACCCCCCTGTTTTTGTTACTGGACCGAACCGGGTCCAGTTACTCAGTGGTTGCCAGCCAAAAGACAAGGTGATTTTATGAGAAGGAAATTTATCGAGAGCCAGCAAGCAAGAGACACACTGGGGATCACTCCTAGAGCAATGTGTCTTCGAAAGCAAAGGATTGGATTAGCCTCATTCAGAGAAATCAAACATAAACATCAAGGTGAGCTTCCTCATCACAGGTATAGGTGGGGACATTCCTGCACCTACGCAGTTAGCAAACATGCCTATACATATATCACATGTTCAAAAATAGTGGAAAACTCCCACCCCTGGGAGGAGAGTTTAGGATTATAACGAGGGTAAAATGAGAAAAGTTCATGAGATCAGCAGAGGGTCCTCTAGGCTGCTTGGGCCAGCCCTGAGCGTGTTGAACTAGATTCTTCCCCTGGTTCTGTAAATTATCTCATCTCCTTGAAAAGACAGGTCTGACAACTGTCAAAGTTAGGGATGGAGTAGGTATGGAAGAAAGTTTAAGTCTCAGCCCTTCTGTTAAAATCTGAGCAAATCACAGGATGTGGTTAGAACACCTTATAATAATTAGGGTGATCTAAGTGGGTTTACAGGTTAATCTAAGTAAAGTTATGAATTCTAAATAAAAGTCTGTGCTAGGCTACCTGTAAGGATGTATATGTATCACATATATATGTTAGGTTACATTCTGACTAGAAATCAGAACCAAAACAGAACAAGAATTAAACATGAACCACTTTCTGAATCCAGCTTTGTTCCTGTGGTGTCCCCTCCAGAAACTGGGTAGCAGAGAGTTAAAAACAGCATTTCTCTATTTTTCAGTGTAAAAATGAAACCTGGGAAAAGAGTCAGTGGGGCTGCTTTCGTGGCTGAGAAGTCAGAAGGCTGGCCTTCCTGGCCCTCCCACATACCTGGCCTCAGCCAAGGGTAGAAAGGATGCTGCTCAGTCATTACCGCAGGTGGGGTGAGATTGCGTGACCTGCCCAGAATACAGATCAGGTGACTGGATTGTCCTTCTGAAACTAATTTTTGTGTCCCAGGGCTGAAGCACAATACTTCAGGGAGGAACTATGAGGGACCATCCACATGCCATAAACGGGATTTCCGAACAGGTCAACAAACAACCAAAATTCCAGGCTCACAGAGGAAAAAAATCTGGAGTCAGGGGAGCTGATTGCCTCCAAGATTTTTCGAGAGCAGAACCAGGTATTTCCTGCTTAGGCTCAGCAGGCAACAAGGAAGAGAAACTGACACTGGATATTGCCTGATGCCACAGGAGCCCTCAAGATCCTCAGCAATGCCTGCGATCTCTGGGGTCTGGTGAGTTTCCAGCCCCGGCAGACAACCCAGTTAGGTCATACGTTAACTACCTTGACCACATATGGCAGGTCGGGGATGCTGGTAAGCCCTAAAATTATGGAGAACAGAATGCCTGCTATCATGCAAACATGTGGACTCTTGCTCCAATGTGGTGTAAAAACTTGAAAAGGAAGATTTTCTGAAGCCCAGATGCCTGTCGAGGGCCACATCTGGGTTGCTAATTGCCACACTAAAGTGGTGGAACATTCTAGAAAGTGAACATTCTAGACAAAGTTGAGAGAGGATCTGAGAAGGAATCCATCTGGGCCTTTACCAGATCTTCAGCCTGTGAGAACTTCTCGCTCAGACCCCCGCAGTTGACCTGTCCAACAAATCAAAGGCCACCAGTTTCTCTTATCCATCTTGCCGTTTGTCAGAAGTGTTTACTTACGTTCAACAATAAGAACCAATGCCTCAAGTGTCTGGGAGGGCTGCCATGCTGACACCCAGAGGAAGAGAAGCAGAAGTCACAGCTTCCACCAGCAGACCCTGTGGACTTCACGGGCCCTATCCTAGGAAAGGAGAGCAAGGAGCCTGGACTCCAGAGTCCATAGTCCATCAGCACCAACTAGTCATGACCTTGGGCTCATTAACCTTAGTTCTCTAAGCCTCAACATTTCCTCATCTGTAAAATAGAGTTGATCATAATTCCTACTTCACAGCCTCATCGTGAGTCTTAGAGGAAATAACGAATGTAAAGTTCTTAGCAAAGTGCCTGGCATATATTGATGGCTCCATCAATGTCAGCGACTGTTTTATTTAGTTTAGCCCGACTCCTAAGCTCACCTGATCGAGGTGAATGACACAGTCTCTCATCTAAGCAGTGGCTAGGTTTTAGAATTACTCTGACGACTGTGAACCTCACACATAATCTGGGGCGACTGGGGTGGAAGTATTCATTGTGGACTGGGATCCTGGGGAATTTGGTATGGCTGGAGAGCAGGGCCGTGCGAATGTGGTGCCCTGGAAGCAGTAGGGGACCGACTCAGAAGGATCCCGGTTGCCAGTGTAAGGGGGATGTGATGGCTAATTTTACGTGTGGACCTGACAGAGCTAAGGGATGCCCAGATAGCTGGGAAACGTCATTTCTGAGTGTGTCTGTCAGGGAGTCTCTGGGAGAGATTGGCGGTCACATCAGTAGGCTCAGTAAAGATCTCCCTCCCCACTGTGGGTGGGCCTCATACGATCCTTTTAGGGCCTAAATAGAACAAAAAGGCAGGGGTAGGGAGAATTCACTCTCTCTGCTGGAGCTGAGACATCTGTCTTCTGCCCTCAGGCTTCGGGGCTCCTGGTTCTTGGGCCTTTAGACTCAAAGTGAATTACACCACCAGCTTTCCTGGTTCTCAGCTTTCAGGCAACAGATGGTGGGACCTCTCGGCCTCCATAACCGCATGAAACAACTCCCATAGTAAATCTCCCATATATACCTATCTCTATCTATATGCATAGATCCTGTTCGTTTCTCCGGAGAACACTGACTAATACCGGCGGCTTCGATTCACTTTCCCAAGTGTACCCTACCTCCTTCTCTTGGCCACAAATATAAGTATAAATAAACTGACTTAGGTAAGCTAGAGCAGCATTGTGATGGCTTCTTCGGTGTTTTCAATCATCTCTGGCTCCTTTAGAAACATTTCACTTTCACCTAAAAGATGAAAGATTCCCCCCATCCACAACCCCCATGGGCCCTTCTCTCTCCCCCTGTCCCTTCTTTTTCCCTCCCCTCCCCCTCCTCATCCCCCATCCAGCAGACTAACCGCAGGGGCAGCTCTAAAAATAGCTTGCCTTCACCAACCCCCCTAGCATGTAAATACATCTTTGTTCCCCGGCGGGCATTTAATAACTGTACTTTACAGAGAAACAAAAGCTGTAATCAGAGCCCAACAATAGAAGCGGCAGGCAGCTCTGAACAATACTCAGAATTCCCGTGGTGACTTCCACCCCCCAGCCACAGCTGTGAGAACCAGAAGTCTCAAGCACGAATTCCATTCACAATTATTCGCCTAGCCCCACTGTGGCTTATTGGAATCACGGCTTTCCGGCCTCCTCAGCGGGGCTTTCAAGATGCTGAAAGGGATGCCAAGCCTGGACCCCTACCAGGAGCAGGCAGGCCATGCAGGTGTGCATGGGGGGCTGGCGCTGAGAAGCCTGCAGAGTCGCACGGTGACAGAGCCAGACTGCCCGAGGCTAGAGACTTCAGCAGCCAGCGGTCTCTGCACCAGTGCTTCATGCAAGACTTCCTTCAGATAAAAGCGCTTTGCACTGACTTCCTTCTCGGCCCTGCAGTCTGTGCATTCCAGGATAAGCCCAGCAGCTGGCTTCTCCCAGCAGGTTCAAGGCTTAGAACCTCAGAGAGGGACGCTCTTTAAGAAGGACAACTCCAGTGGGTCTCAGGTTCTGTTACATGTTAGAGTCACTGGAATACTTAAAAAAAACATTTAGCACGAGACCCCCATGCCAGACCAGGTGAATTAGAGTCTCTGGCAATGAGGAATCAACATTGGTATTATTTTTCTCCTTTCTTTTCGTTTTGAAGTATAACTGAAATATAAGGTTATGGATTGAATATTTGTGTCCCTCCCAAAATTCATATATTGAACTCCCACCCACAATATAACTGTATTTGGAGATAGGGCCTTTTTGGATAATTAAGGTCAAATGAGGTCATAAGGGTGGGGCCCTAATCCAATAGGATTAGTGTACTTATAAGAAGAGACACCAGAGAGCTCACTCTTCTCCTTTCCCACAAAACAACGTAAAGACTCAGCTAGAAGGCAGCTGTCTGCAGCTGAGAAACAGTTCTCACCAGGCACTGAATCAGCCAGTGCCTTGATCTTGGACTTCTCCACCTCCAGGAGTGTGGGCAATACATTTCTATTTAAGCTACCCTGTCCATGGTATTTTGTTTCAGCAGCCCGAGCTGACCAAGACATATAGTAAAGTCTATGACTCTGAAGTATAAAGCCTGATAAAGTATGTCACCACCATCCACCATCCTAACAGCCCCCAAAGTCTCCCAGTGCCAGCTACAGGTAAGCACTATTTTGATTTCTATCACCGCAGATGAGTTTTGCCTGTTCTTGAACTTCATATGAATATAATTGCGCGCTATGTTATGTCTTCTTTGGGATCGAACTTCTTTTGCTCAGCATTGTACCACAGATTTATTGATGTTTTGTGTATCGTATTTGAACTTCATATGAATATAACTGCGCGCTATGTTATGTCTTCTTTGGGATCAAACTTCTTTTGCTCAGCATTGTACCAGAGATTTATTGATGTTATTGTGTATTGTATTCTATTCTATTGCTGTGTAATGTTTCATGTTACGAATAATGCACAATTTATCTATTCTCCCGTTGATAGACATTTGGTTGTTGCCACTGTGTCTTTTCTCGTGTTGCTTCCTCAGCCCAGAATGGCTTTCCCATCCAGCCCCCCGCCCCCGCCCCCTAATCTCTACAAATAAAACCTTCTCACACTGAGAGGTCAGCTTGAAGAACCCAGTCAAAACTCATCCTGAGCATCTTTCTGACCTTTCAAAGAGAAGTGACCGCCTCTCCTCTGTGGCCCCACTGGTCCCCATTTTGAAATTCTAAGGGCATCTCTGCCAAGGGACCATGATTTCTTCAAGGTCAGGAACCATATCTGAATCATCTCCGTAGCCTCAGCCCCTAGCACGGTGCCCAGGAGACAGGAGGAGTCTAACTAGGGACAGTCGCCTGTCTGAGGAGGCAGGTCCACCACCAGGGAGCAGACCTGGGCAGTCTGGTTTTGGGAAGGGAGGCTTGCAGAAGCGAGGCAGGTTCTAGGCCTAGAAAGGGCCTCGAGGCCCTGAAGGACAGCTCGACAGGAAGTCCAGTGGGACAAACTGGGCATGAGCATGGTGTGCGGCTGTCCAGGGCTCGCTCCGCGTGGCAGCCCAGGTGACTGAACCCTAAGCCCCCAGGATGCACAGCCCCACACACCTGAGGAGACGGGCTCAGGGGCCTGGGAGAAGGGGGCCCTTAGGCAGGGCATCGGTGGGTTCCGGGCTTTCAGGTCTTGGCACGGCCCAGAATTCTGTCTCAAGCACTGCAGCCTGGACCTGGTACCCCCTGATTGCCTCCCGCCTTCCAGGGGGACATTTGGAGCCACCCAGAAAGCTGACCAGAGGAGCTCCGCAAGGTCCATTGCATTTCCTGCTGCAAGTTCCTTTTCTCTGATCTCTCCTCCTTCATGTAAGTCACTTAAATAAGGCCATCGATATGGTTCTCAGTCCACTGAGGCAACCCAACGGCAGTACTCAGGAAGCCAGTCTCCGGATCGATAGCTCTTAATCAATTCATGCTTTTTGTCATAGAGAGGTGGTCAGCATTGTTTAGAAAATCTAAGCTTTTTGACCCATGATGCTGTTGCAAGGAGAGGCTATTGGCAACAGACAGACCGGAGCCTAAACCTGTTGCTTCCTGGCTGTGTAACTCTGAGCCACTCGCTCCAGTGTTCTGAGCTTCAGTTTCCTCATTGGCCAAATGCTATCTCAGTTGCACAGAGGTTATGAGGATAAGCAGGTGTTTAATGAGTGGCTGTTATGTCCCCCGGGCCATCGGAGGCGGCGTACGCCCCGATCCTGTGCTCATCATTTACTTCCTAACAACAGACAGGCTCTTCTCTGGACGCCACCCTGGTTATCCTGAAACGCCCTCCCCCACCTCACCCGGGCGCCCACGCCAGACTGTTTGTTTTGGATGCAGGAGGCCAGCCAGGGAGTGGCGGGCCTGCCCATGCGGTTCCTTGAAACAGAAGTTGCTCCCTGACTCATTGTGAGAGAAGCCAGCACATCCAAGCACCTACACAGACATGTCGGAGATAGGCTGCCCTGTGGGCAGGGCTGCTGGTGGGTGGGGTGGTGCACAAACTGAGTGATGGCGGACAGAGGGCCTGTAAGCCAGGCAGGAGACCTCGGCTGTGTCCTGGGAGAAACAGGGAGGTGGCACTGAAGGGTTTTAAATGAGAAAGGGACACAATCAGATTTGTGGCTTCGAAAAGTCCTTCTGGATCCTTGGATGAGTCTTTCAGAAGGGAAGGCCCCACGTATATTTCAGCATCGTCTCCTTCCTTTGCCCAACACAGGTTTTCTGCTCTAGCCAAACCCCTAAACGCCCTCCGCACCTCTGCCCTACCGGGGCTCTCTCCATCCGCCCTTCCCTCCTCCAGAGATTCTCCCCCGGCCCCCCACACCTGTTCCCTGCTCTCTTCCCAGAACCCAAGGTTCTCACCCACCCACCCAACGGCTAGAGCCACTCGGAACTTGCTGCCCCATGTGGCTAATTCTCGGAGCCCACGACGCTGTCGAAAGAACAAAACTTTTGCAATCAGAAGACCCTAGTTCAAGTTCACATTCTGTCCTTAGCAACTTACAGTCTTCGGCATCTCACTCAACCTCTCTGAGCCATGCTTTGCTCATTTGCACAATAGGGCAATATGACACATCTCCCAGGATTGTGGTAAGTATCAACGGAATGTAAAAAGCACTCTGTAAATAACGACTTTGAACACAAACTAGAAAAGCCATGGCTACAGAACCCGGAAAACCCAGGGCGGGACCCTGGCACTGCCTCCTACGGATGACTATCTCTAGACAGGTCGCCCAGTCTCTCTGGGCTTATTCTCCTCTTCTGTATGTGGGGAGCTTAGAACCTGCCTCTGAGATTAAGATGAAGATCGAATGCGTTAAGGGATTGGCACCGCGCCTGGTACATAGTAGCCTGGCAATGAATGGTGGTGCCCTGCCCTCCTCACTGCCAAACAACAGTGCTTTGGACATGGGAGTACGAACGTGTCTTTTGCTTGCCTGGCTAATTTAATTACAGACCCTCAAATAAAGGGATGGATGCAGAGGTGGGTGGGAGGGTAAGTGGTTGATGGATGGACAAATGAATGTCTAACTGACCAGATGAATGAATGAATGAATGAATGCGGGCGACCAAACTGATAGCTGAATAAAGTCAAGGAGCAAATGAAAGCTTCAATGAATGAGCAAAGAATAGAGTGAGTGAATCATTAAATGAGTGACAGCGGGGACAGGCGGTAGAGGCCTGTTCTCCTTTGGCCCAGAGGTCCCTCCTCCCCGCGCCCCCACCCTAACCCTCTGGCCTTTAAGGTAGGAGTAAAGCACTAGTTATCTTCTAGGCTCTCCTTAGTGGCAGACAGATGTCCCTGCCAGGTAACCAGGGCAACCAGGTTCCTGAGCAGAAGCAGCACTTGGCTCCATGAAAGTGAATCCAGGCCTATCTTGGTGACAAGGTCAACTTTCTGGGGCTGTGTAGACTAGAGGAAGTGCCCGCTCTGAGCAGTCGGTGGGCACGCTCAGGCCAGGCGCTCTCTGCGTCCAGGCTGGGGCTGCATCCTCGGCAGCCGCCGACCTCCTATTTGGGAAGCGGGGGGTCGTCATTTGCTTCATTAGAGAAGATGCAACTGGCACGAGCAAGCTAAGAAAATGGGTCTGAGGAAGAAGACATCTGGAGAGAGGTGGGCCACGGCCCCCGGCCTGCTGACTGTGAGCCTGTGGGCCAGGAGATGGCTCGGTCAGTCACGGCAACCCCCTTGGGGCAAGGAACAAAGACCTGCTGGCAAAGGCATGATTCTCTGGGAACAGAGGAGCCAGTCACAGTGCTGGTTTCTTTCTTATAACCATGCTCGGAGGCAGCCAGGCAGTGCCCACCCACCCCTCTGCCAACCCTTACGCAGATAAAGAGGCCCAGTTAGGGAAGAAGACTGGCCCGGGATTCAAGAGCAAAACAGCAGAGCAAGGAAAACCCCAGTCTCTCCACACCCCAACCCTTCTCTCCAGGCTCTCGTATGCAGCTGAGACCCACGTTCAGTTAAATTAAAGGTCCTCATTAACATCCCGAAACAGTCCAGCCAGGCCTGCCAGCTAGCTGTTATCCGCTACCGGATCTTCCTCTCCAGACTTTTTTGCATCTAGCCTTTCACCACGTCTTTAAGGCAACGAAAGAACTGCGGCCTTGGAATCTCTCGCTGGGAACCCAGATGAGCAGAGCAGAGCGAACCGCCTCGCGGGCCAGGCGCTGCTTTGGGTTTAGACTCTGTGTTTTGTATGTTGTCTCATTGAGAGCTGACAACAGCCCAGTCAGGTATTTCTTCTGCTTCACAGATGAGGAAACTTGAGCTCATGCACCTGAGAGATGGAAGAGTCTGGACTCAAGGCCTGAATTTCTTCCTACTCCAACCACGCCTCATGGACATAAACAAGGCCTGAGGTTAATGGAAACGCACGCACGCAGGCACACACCAGTTCGTCGCAATGTCATAATCCCTCATGCACAACTCTCCGATGGGAAAAGCAAATCCTTGCTCATCAAAACCAAGGATAATGTCACCGGACCCGCGTGTGCTCATCTAATTTACTTGCATGAAATGGGGCCTCCTAGGATATATTAAGAGTTGGTGATTTCATTGCCTAGCTCATTGGCTGTAGATTCATATATTAAAGAATAAAGAACACTTTTAAGATTCTCATCTTAAACAAACTGCCCACTAATCTGCACCATGCTCTCTAAGGGTGCTCTGTGGACCGGTACCAGTACACAAATATTTATTATCCACCCTCAATGGGACACGTGCGGACACTGAGGGTCAACATTTAGACACGTGCACAGCTTTTTGATGTTGTTAAGACGTACAAGTGCACGGTCGGGGAGGTTGCATTTTGGTCTGTTTCTGTAATCTCTCCTCCTCCACAGTATCTTATGAAGAGTCAGTCTGAGATGGATTGGGGAGAAAATAAAAAACTGGTCCCACCACAGGCAAGCATTGCCTCTGAGGCCTGTGAGAGACTCCGACCGAGAACGTTTGGGATTTTGAGGACTGGCTATCAACTTCCAGGTGATGACCTTGAATAAGCAGAGGCTTTCCAGCCCTCTCTCCCCTCTCCCATGTCCCCTTGTGGTGCTACAAATTTGAAATTCTTGGATGACTCAGAACCCCCTGTTCCGAGAAAGGTGTTCAGAGGTACACTTACAGCGATGCTAAGATCTTTTTGTGAAATTTTCCTAAATACGGGGTGACCAGGAGGAACCTTCCCAAATAGCCTTCATATCCGCCCGGAGGTGCCAAGCTTGAGAAGGGAGAACAGGCGGGCGGTGGTGAGCG